TTAGTAACTTTGTAGTCTGTCAGTGTCAATTACCCTTTTAGGGCATGTACCTTCCTTTTTGGGAGAAATTCCCATGATACAATAGTTGTAGCCCCTTCTCTTAGCTTTCTAAATCTGTTGAAATCATGTTGTTTAGTGTTCTTTTCATGAAGAAAAATGCAAAAAACAAAAAAAAACGCGGTGCTTTTGAAAACCCTTTACCTTATATCTCCACAATGGAAGCACTTTAGGACATAATTCCAACTGATTCTGGAAGCTATGGTAAAGAGCTACAACTTTTGTTTTTTTACCATTTTTGGAAATTTGTCATGTGACCACCCTCCCAATGACCCATTGGATGGACCATAATAGCTATTTCATTGCTATCATGGAATATAATGAAAAATCGTAATGATATCCCTGGGGGCAGATATGAAATTGGAATGAAATATTGAGATACTCAATGAAAAATCCCAATGAAAGCTGTGGAATATTCAATGAAAGTGCACATCATTAATTATGAAAGAAGCAATGAAAATGCACAATGAAAGCACCCAGAATTGATAATGAAATATTCAATGAAAGTGCACAGCATTAATTATGAAAGAGGCAATGAATACACCTGACCTAGGGAATGAGATATTTATTGAAATTGCACAACATTAATTATGAAGAGTACAATGAAAGCATCCAATATTCCTAATGAAATATTCAATGAAAGCGCACACCATTAAATATGAAAGAGGCAATGAATACACCTGACCTAGGGAATGAGATATTTATTGAAATTGCACAGCATTAACTATGAAAAGTAGAATGAAAGCATCCAATATTCCTAATGAAATATTCAATGAAAGCGCACACTATTAAATATGAAAGAGGCAATGAATACACCTGACCTAGGGAATGAGATATTTATTGAAATTGCACAACATTAATTATGAAAAGTACAATGAAAGCATCCAATATTCCTAATGAAATATTCAATGAAAGCGCACACCATTAGATATGATAGAGGCAATGAATACACCTAACATAGTGAATGAAATATTTATTGAAATCACACAGGATTAATTATGAAAAAAGCAATGAAAGCGCCCAAAATTCCTAATGAAATATTCAATGAAAGTGCACACCATTAATTATGAAAAAGGCAATGAATACACCTAACCCAGTGAATGAAATACCTATTGAAAG